TGATATATTTTCCGAAGAAGGGCTTGTATAAGTCCGAGTCCTTGCTTGTCGACTACGGAACTGGGCCTGGGGCCGCTCTGGCCGCCATGTGGCCGCTGTCGCCGCCCGTCGCCTGGGCCTGCGGGCCGCTCTGGCCGCCATGCGGCCGGCGTCGCCGCCTCGTCGCCGCCCGCCGCCTTGTCGCCGGCCGCTTGCATTTCTTCGCATTGCTTTGCATTTCCGTGCATTGCTTTGCATTGCTACGCGTTGCTCTGCAATGCTTCGCATTGCTTTGCACTGCTTGGCATTGCTTCGCGTTGCTTGCTGCTGCCTTGGGCTGCTTCTCGCAACACAGATTGCGCCACATGGATTGCACAACCTAGATTGCGCCAGATATGTTCCACCGCCTAGACTGCACCGCATGGATTGCAAGGCTGTTGACTATTGACAATTTTCGGGGAAACGTGAGACTCGAGTAAGCCGGAACTCGGTTTAGCCGACGTTTTTTTTTGACGAGCGCGTCCTGGATTTTGACGGTCCAGTTTTCGTGGCATGTCTGCAGCGAGAGCCCCCGTCGAATTTCGGATTGGGTCTCGTCATTTCTATGATGGCCCCGTCGGGCCCAACCCGAGTCCCCCGTACCCGAGTCTTACGCCTCCCCGATAGTTGGGGTCCACGCCGGCCAGCACCGAGACTCTGTTCCGAGCGCAACGAGCGCGGGAAGACAACGGACAGCTCCCCCGCACCCGAGGCTTACGTCTCCCCGATATTCGGGGTCCACGCCGGCCAGCACCGAGACTCTGTCCGGAGCGCAGCGAGCGCGGGAAGGCAGCGGACAGCCGGGCCACGGGCCGGCCCCAGACGCAACGCGCGCCTTCCGTCCAGAGCATAGTTAGACCAGGCGTCGGTCTCCCAGAGGGGGCACAGCGCCAGCAGCGCTTTGGTAGAACATCTGGGCTCATACCAGGCGTCGATGTTCCAGAGGGGGGACAACGCCAGCAGCGCTTCGGTATAACATCTGGGCTCATACCAGGCGTCGATCTCCCAGAGGGGGCACAGCGCCAGCAGCGTCTTGAAAGAACATCTAGGCTCATACCAGGCGTCGATCTTCCAGAGGGGGGACAACGCCAGCAGCGCTTTGAAAGAACATCTAGGCTCATACCAGGCGTCGATCTCCCCGAGGGGTGACAACGCCAGCAGCGTTTTGGTAGAACATCTGGGCTCATACCAGGCGTCGATCTCCCAGGGGGGGGAATACGCCAGCAGCGTCTTGGTAGAACATCCAGGCTCATACCAGGCGTCGGTCTCCCAGAGGGGGGAATACGCCAGCAGCGTCTTGGTAGAACATCTAGGCTCATACCAGGCGTCGATCTCCCAGAGGGGGGAATACGCCAGCAGCGTCTTGAAACAACATCTAGGCTCATACCAGGCGTCGATCTCCCAGAGGGGGGACAGCGCCAGCAGCGCTTTGGTAGAACATCTGGGCTCATACCAGGCGTCGATCTCCCAGAGGGGTGACAACGCCAGCAGCGTTTTGGTAGAACATCTGGGCTCATACCAGGCGTCGATCTCCCAGAGGGGGGGCAACGCCAGCAGCGTCTTGGTAGAACATCTAGGCTCATACCCGGCGTCGATCTTCCAGAGGGGGGAGTACGCCAGCAGCGTCTTGAAAGAACGTCTAGGCTCATACCAGGCGTCGATCTTCCAGAGGGGGGACAACGCCAGCAGCGCTTTGAAAGAACATCTAGGCTCATACCAGGCGTCGATCTCCCCGAGGGGTGACAACGCCAGCAGCGTTTTGGTAGAACATCTGGGCTCATACCAGGCGTCGATCTCCCAGAGGGGTGACAACGCCAGCAGCGTCTTGGTAGAACATCTAGGCTCGTACCAGGCGTCGATCTCCCAGAGGGGGGAGTACGCCAGCAGCGTTTTGGTAGAACATCTAGGCTCATACCAGGCGTCGATCTTCCAGAGGGGGGACAGCTCATACCAGGCGTCGATCTTCCAGAGGGGTGACAACGCCAGCAGCGTCTTGGTAGAACATCTAGGCTCATACCAGGCGTTGATCTCCCAGAGGGGGGAATACGCCAGCAGCGTCTTGGTAGAACATCTAGGCTCATACCAGGCGTCGATCTTCCAGAGGGGGGAATACGCCAACAGCGTCTTGAAAGAACATCTAGGCTCATACCAGGCGTCGATCTTCCAGAGGGGGGCAACGCCAGCAGCGCTTTGAAAGAACATCTAGGCTCATGCCAGGCGTCGATCTCCCAGAGGGGTGACAACGCCAGCGTTTTGGTAGAACATCTAGGCTCATACCAGGCGCCGATCTTCCAGAGGGGTGACAACGCTAGCAGCGGTTTGGTATAACATCTAGGCTCATACCAGGCGTCGATCTTCCAGAGGGGGGAGTACGCCAGCAGCGTCTTGACCTAACATCTAGGCTCATACCAGGCGTCGATCTTCCAGAGGGGGGACAACGCCAGCAGGGCTTTGAAAGAACATCTCGGCTCATACCAGGCGTCGATCTCCCAGAGGGGTGACAACGCCAGCAGCGTCTTGAAATAACATCTAGGCTCATGCCAGGCGTCGATCTTCCAGAGGGGGGAATACGCCAGCAGCGTCTTGAAAGAACATCTAGGCTCATACCAGGCGTCGATCTTCCAGAGGGGGGACAACGCCAGCAGCGCTTTGAAAGAACATCTAGGCTCATACCAGGCGTCGATCTCCCAGAGGGGTGACAACGCCAGCAGCGTTTTGGTAGAACATCTGGGCTCATACCAGGCGTCGATCTTCCAGAGGGGTGACAACGCCAGCAGCGTTTTGGTAGAACATCTAGGCTCATACCAGGCGTCGATCTCCCAGAGGGGGAGTGCGCCAGCAGCGTCTTGGTAGAACATCTAGGCTCATACCAGGCGTCGATCTTCCAGAGGGGGGAATACGCCAGCAGCGTCTTGACCTAACATCTAGGCTCATACCAGGCGTCGATCTTCCAGAGGGGGGACAACGCCAGCAGGGCTTTGAAAGAACATCTAGGCTCATACCAGGCGTCTATCTCCCAGAGGGGTGACAACGCCAGCAGCGTTTTGGTAGAACATCTGGGCTCATACCAGGCGTCGATCTTCCAGAGGGGTGACAACGCCGGCAGCGTTTTGGTAGAACATCTAGGCTCATACCAGGCGTCGATCTTCCAGAGGGGGGAATGCGCCAGCAGCGTTTTGGTAGAACATCTAGGCTCATACCAGGCGTCGATCTTCCGGAGGGGGGACAACGCCAGCAGCGCTTTGAAAGAACATCTAGGCTCATACCAGGCGTCGATCTCCCAGAGGGGTGACAACGCCAGCAGCGTTTTGGTAGAACATCTGGGCTCATACCAGGCGTCGATCTCCCAGAGGGGTGACAACGCCAGCAGCGTTTTTGTAGAACATCTAGACTCATACCTGGCGTCGATCTTCCAGAGGGGGGAATGCGCCAGCAGCGTTTTGGTAGAACATCTAGGCTCATACCAGGCGTCGATCTTCCAGAGGGGGGACAACGCCAGCCAGCAGCGCTTTGAAAGAACATCTAGGCTCATACCAGGCGTCGATCTCCCAGAGGGGTGACAACGCCAGCAGCGTTTTGGTATAACATCTAGACTCATACCTGGCGTCGATCTTCCAGAGGGGTGACAACGCCAGCAGCGTTTTGGTAGAACATCTAGGCTCATACCAGGCGTCGATCTTCCAGAGGGGGGAATACGCCAGCAGCGTCTTGGTAGAACATCTAGGCTCATACCAGGCGTCGATCTCCCAGAGGGGTGACAACGCCAGCAGCGTTTTGGTAGAACATCTAGGCTCATACCAGGCGTCGATCTTCCAGAGGGGGGAATACGCCAGCAGCGTTTTGGTAGAACATCTAGGCTCATACCAGGCGTCGATCTTCCAGAGGGGGGACAACGCCAGCAGCGTCTTGGTAGAACATCTAGGCTCATACTAGGCGTCGATCCTCCAGAGGGGGGACAACGCCAGCAGGGCTTTGAAAGAACATCTCGGCTCATACCAGGCGTCGATCTCCCAGAGGGGTGACAACGCCAGCAGCGCTTTGAGAGAACATCAAGGCTCCCGGAGGCCCAGCAGACGGCATCGAGGGCCCCGAGACGGTGTGGTGTCCACGCCGTGTGGCGAGGTCAGTGCGGTTTCGGGATGGCCGCGCGGCTCTGGGGGATGTGGGGGTCGTTCTCCGACCGTACTGTGACGGACCGTGCGGCGAGATCCTCTCGGGGAGTCCTAGGTCACCGCACGTTCTGTCGCCGCGCCGTGTTGTGAGCCCCATGCAGCTTGCGGAGCCCTGACTCCTCGATCCTCGATCCTCCTCCGCCGTCTGCTCATTCCTGCCCCCTCTTCTCTGCGCCATAAGGTCTTTCCTATGCCGCTGTGCCGTCTGGCCGCAGCGAAGAGCTGCTGGTCGCCCCGCACTTTGAGAGTGCTGGTGTCCCCCACTGCCGTCAGGTGTCATGCATTTAGTTCGACGCCACCCGAATATACTAATACTACGTGTGCGTCGTCCCCCCATGGGGCGACGCGCGCACCGAGAAATCTTATAGGGTATGCATCGTGGCTGGCGCTTTCTCGCCACACCGCTCGGGAAACGATACGCTGCAAGATGGGTATGCTATATGTTAAGGTCGGACGCGCGCCTCCAAGGAGGACCTATAGTATTAGTATGTTTCTGTGCGTCCCACTAATGGAGAGGAGCTGTTGAGATCAAACAAATCTCATCTGCACAATAGGTCCAGGGGGGGTCTGTGTGATGGGTCGTGTCCTTGACCATTCTGTCAAGCCAGTTCCGCAGCCTGAGTGAAACCCACAGTGGGCCGATGGGCGCAGCAGTGCCGCCGTCTTGAGGCTCTCGTCGAGCCCTAAGTGATGGAATGGGCCTCGACCCCCCAGCGGGGCGAAGAGAGCATCAAAATGCCAAGGGATGCGTCTGCTTACGGGGGGGCTCCCCCCGCCGCCGCCGCCGGCGCCTCCGCGCGCGCCGGCGAGGAGCTGGTCGACCAGAACTCTTTCACGAACCTGCGGGCCCGCCGCCGCGGGGGCGGCCGACGGGGCGGGGCTCGGGAGGCCCGTGCCGCGGCCTCCTGAGGGGCCAGGGGCGTTTCGGCATCGTGTGTCCTCGAGAGTCTTGGAGTGGGAGTGGGAGGAGGAGGAGGAGGAGGAGGAGGAGGAGGAGGAGGAGGAGGAGGAGGAGGAGGAGGAGGAGGAGGAGGAGGAGGAGGAGGAGGAGGAGGAGGAGGAGGAGGAGGAGGATGATCAACAGTGCTCGCCGATCTCCCAGACGGCCCTCGCCGTCTTGGCCTCGCGCTGGCGGCGCAGGCCTCTTGCTGTGTTAAATCCGGCAGATGCGATTCAATTCTTCACGATTCGCGTATCCCCACCAGCCCATTTAAAAGCGCTGCCGATGAAAGCTAATCTTCTTGAGACCCTCTTGGGGCCTCTTGGGGCTCTCTTGGAGCCCTCTTGGGGCACCCTTGTGGCTTGTTTGGGGGGTCTTGGGACACTCTTGGACCCCGCTCGGAGGCCTCTCGGGAGCCCTGGAGGGCCTCTTGGGGCCATCTTGGAGGCCCAGGGGGATTGCCTGCTGTCATAATCGTATCTCTTCTTGGGGCTCAGTCGGCGAACAGCTATTCCTGGGGATTTTGATGGGAAGCCCAGAAGTTGATCGTGCGATTGGAATTGTAGCTCCGACCGGGTCCCTGGCTGCCTTGATACCCAGGGCGTGGCTTTAAGGCCGAACCAGTCGACAGGCCAACCGATGAGCTCGTTCCCCTCTCTGCGTGCAGCGCCGTGCCCCCTTCCCTTTCCACTTCCCCCGCCGCGGGCTGGGGGTGTACTGTCGGGCCGAACGAAAGGGGGGGATAGGGACAGGGGGGGTAACAAATCTGCTGCATGCAGCTGGTTTCGGCCCCGCCGCCGGGCCCATTCCTCGATACATGATCGCCTTCCGGCGCCGGGAGGCGCTTGGAAAATCAGCTACGTGAGCTGATTCTCTACCCTATCCTTTGCTATTCCCCCCTTTCGTTCCCCCCGACATTCGTCAGGGAAGGCACAGGTCGCGTGGGTGTAGGGGTGCCGATGTAGATGCCGTAATCGTCGTCGTCGTCGTCGTCGTCGTCGTCGTCGTCGTCCAACTGCAAGTCTAGCTCGTCGAAGGGGTCGTCCTCTATGCCGCATGCAGAGCTTCTGCTAAGCTGTGTCGGTGGTGCTGGTGTCGTCGTTCACCCCTCAGCGTGGAGTGCCGCGTCCCCTCGCTCGGGGTTCTGCTGCGCGAGGGCAGTGAGCGGTGTCGAGGTCGCGGGGGGAGTCGCAGGTCGCGTGACTGTAGGGGCCATATTGTCGCCAGCGTCGTACATGTGGTCGTCAGCGTCGGGCTTGCGGACAGGGTCGCGATCGGCTTGATTGATCGCATCTCGGGGTGATGGGACTGGATAAGGCCGTGTGAGATAGCGTAGAAACTGAGGACCCGTTGCATTCCTTATTTTCGTGCTTATCCGAGGCGTCGCGATGACACGTGCATGTTGGCAAGGGCGGGCCATCGCTGGGTTTGGATTGGGATACTGGAGTCTGGGTGGGTGGCTCAGGTGTCTCGGTAGGGTTCTCCTGCAGCCGTTCCGACCGCCTCTGCTCCGCCAACTCCCTCTTCTGCGTGCGCTTGCTGTGTGGGTCCCTCGCCTTCTTATCTGGCGGTGGGTGGGCGAGCGAGAAGGGTGTTGGTATGATGAGAGCCCATGCTGGTGCCGCCTGGGATACGTATTGGGCGACCAATCCCATATGACTGTGTCCTCGATCACGGCGTAGTCGAGGAGCCGTCCGCCTGTGAGCTGTGTGAAGCATATTCGACGGCTTGTATACCTTACCATTGACATAGTTGAGCCACCAGGTCTCCTCCAGGTCGGATGGGACGATGTTCCGTTCCCCGATGGTGATTTTTGTGTGTTGTGTGTGTGATAATTTTGATGACGCTGCCAATGTTCTGGAGCTTGACCAGACTCTGCGCCGTCAGTCCGATGGCAGTAGTATGATACAGCAGGACAAGCGTAAGCTGGCCATGCTGTATCTGGATGGCGAGGGCCTGGAAGTCCCATGAGTCCACAGGTTTGGGACGAAGACTGGCTCAGGTCGCCTGTGCCGAATTTGACCCTTTGTTTGCTTCCGACGTCTTGCTTGGTGCCCCAGGGATGCGCACTGTGGCGTCTGGCACCTGGCGCAACTCCTACTGCTTGCCTGACCTCCTAGGAAGCCGTCAAGGTCGCGACCAGTACGCAAGGAGTTCACCATCGCGACCAGTACGCACCGTCCGTCGCGACCATTGCGTGCACGATGGCGACGGCGTCCTAGGATCGCAAGCATGTTCGTGGGGGGTCCCTGCGTACTGGTCGCGATGGTGAAGTGACGGCTTCCTAGGCCGCTGCCTCGAGCTCGGTGAACGCCGCGTCGCCGGCGTGCTCGCCCTCGTGGGCCTCGGTCCGCCCGAGGATGTCAGCCTGGAGCGGCGGAGCCTCGACGGCTTTCTTGGCCTTCGGCCGCCACCCGGCGACGTTGCGAACGGCGAGCGCTCGGGGGGCGAATGCTCAGCCAGGGGGCTGAAGCTGCTGCTGCTGCCGCCGCTGCTGCTGCCGCTGCTGCTCGTTGGCCCTGGCTCGGGCCTCCGCGGCAAGCTGGGCCCCTGCCGCGGAGGCCTGGGAGGCCCCGTGCAGTTGGCCCCCTGGAGGCCTCCAGGTTCTCAGGCCCTCCTCCCGCAGGGGCCCTAGGAGGAGCATCAGCAGCAGCAGCAGCAGCAGAGGCCCGATTGGCCCTCGAGCCTTTCGGCGTCACCGCTGGCTGGGACGTGGAGCTCACGCCTGCCTGGCCTCCACCTTGCTCGTCGGTGCGTTGGCGCTTGACTCGTAGTCGTTCCCGTGTGGTGTCGAGCTGCTTCCTGTGCTGCTGGGTAGCTGCTGCGCCGTTGCCGAATACCTCCTCGACTTTGTCATTGAGCTCGTCCAGGAAGTTAGACTTGAGGGCTGTCCACTGCTGTGCATTCCCTGGCTCCAACTCGAGGTCCGCCAGTGGGAAGGCGCCGCCCTCATCGAAGGCCAGGTCCTCGTCGCCCAGGAGAAGTGTGCTGAGGTTGATGCCCTCCGCTGCGGATGCGGAGGAAACTGGTCGATGTCCACGTTCCGTGGTCGAAAGCAGCGATGGTTTCCTGTAACCTCCTTGCGCACTGGCCAAATGCTCGGCACATGATGCAGTGTGGTCCTCGCAACTCTTGATCCTTTCCTTGGCCTTCTGCTCGGAAAAGCTGCCTTGTCCAGGGCCATGCGCTCCTTCTATCCGCTGCCAGCACTCGCTTGTATTTGTCGTCGATGGACTTGGGATGGGCAGGCTTCGGCGGTTCGACCTTGGACTTGAACCCGTCCAGTGCGCTCTTTTGTTCAGGTGGCATCTTACTCTCCAGGATTGCGAGGACTGAGCTGAAGTTTGTAGTTGATACACCCCTACGATGACTTAGTACGACGGCGCCTTCCTTTCGACTTCTCCCTCTTGTCCCAGGTCTTCCACTCGTCGGAGTCCTGGTTGGGGGAGTCGGTGTTCAATACGCCTTTTGGTGAACTCTCCTACGGCAGCGCGCAGCTCGATTGCAGGGGTTCCCAAAACTTGTTGTCTGGCCGCGGAACAACGGTATCCACTTGGTCCACAGGGAACCATCAGCCTTGAGCCAAAATGGCTACGGGAAGGAGGAGGAGGAGGAGGAGGAGGAGGAGGAGGAGGAGGAGGAGGAGGAGGAGGAGGAGGAGGAGGAGAGGAGGAGGGGAGAGGAGGGAGGAAGGAAGAGGAGGAGGAGGAGGAGGAGGAGGAGGAGGCGCAGAGCCGAACGCGAGGGCCCCGCGTGCGCGCCGCTGGGTGCGCGGCCTTCCGGGGCGCGCAGGGCCTGGCCGAGAAGGTGAAGAGCGCTCGCCTGATCAACGCCATCAACGCCGTGTTCATGTGGTGCAAGGCCGGCCCTCCTCGCTCGTCCCTCGCGCCTTCGCTCCTCGCTCCTCACTCCTCCTCCTCCTCCTCCTCCTCCTCCTCCTCTCCTCCTCCTCCTCCCACCCCTCCTCCTTCCCCCCTCCTCCTCCTCCTCCTCCTCCCCTCCTCCTCCTCCTCCTCCTCCTCCTCCTCCTCCTCCTCCTCCTCCTCCCTCCTCCTCCTCCTCCTCCTCCTCCTCCTCCTCCCCCTCCTCCCCCTCCTCCTCCTCCTCCCCCTCATCCTCGCCCTGGTCGCCCCTGCCGCCACTATTCCTGCTCGCTCGCTCGCTCCCTCCCCCTCCTCCTGCCCCCTCTCGGCGCCTCGGCTGGGCGCAACTCGGCAGCGGGCCAGGATGGTGTCCAGGACCAGGGATACCGGAGTCGAAGAGGGAGGGAACGCGTGCTGTCGGGCGAGGACGGGGTGGAGGAGGAGGAGGAGGAGGAGTACCAGGAGGAGGTGGAGGAGGAGGAGGAGCTGACGCTGCGACCCTATGGCAGTTGTCCGTGCAACGTAGAAACGGCGGAGAAAGAGGGATGATGATGATGATGATGATGATGATGATGATGATGATGATGATGATGATGATGATGATGATGATGATGATGATGATGATGATGATGATGATGATGATGATGATGATGATGATGATGATGAGATGGATGATGATGATGATGGATGATGATGATGATGATGATGATGATGATGATGATGATGATGATGATGATTGATGATGAGATGATGATGATGATGATGATGATGATGATGATGATGATGATGATGATGATGATGATGATGATGATGATGATGATGATGATGATGATGATGATGATGATGATGATGAGATGATGATGATGATGGATGATGATGATGATGATGATGATGATGATGATGATGATGATGATGATGATGATGATGATGATGATGATGATGATGATGATGATGATGATGATGATGATGATGATGATGATGATGATGATGATGATGATGATGATGATGATGATGATGATGATGATGATGATGATGATGATGATGATGATGATGATGATGATGATGATGATGATGATGATGATGATGATGATGATGATGATGATGATGATGATGATGATGATGATGATGATGATGATGATGGATGATGGATGGAGGAGGAGGAGGAGGATGATGATGGGTGGTGGTGATGATGATAAGGATGATGATGCTGATGATCATGGTGGTGGTGGTGGTGATGCTGATGATGATGCTGATGATGATGATGCCGACGATGATGACGATGATGATGATGATGATGATGATGATGATGATGATGATGATGATGATGATGATGATGATGATGATGATGATGATGATGATGCTGATGATGATGATGATGATGATGATGATGATGATGATGATGATGATGATGATGATGATGATGAGGATGAGGAGGAGGAGGGGGGAGGAGGGGAGGAGGAGGAGGAGGAAGAGGAGGAGAAAGAGGGGGACGCGGAGGAGGAGGAGGAGGAGGAGGAGGAGGAGGAGGAACAGGAGGAGGAGCAGGAGGAGGACGACGAGTGTAAACCCAAGACCCACTGACGATGTTGCAGCAATAAGCCCTCCCTCCAAATTCCCCTGCATAGGCCCTTAGAAGGGTTTGCTTTCACTTAGGGAAGTGCTCCGTTGGAAATTATCTTCTGAAAGTCCTGAAATGTGACTGTCGCGTCCTGACGATTCTGAATCGTGCTAGAACGCCGTGCCTGAACACCGCCAAACAAGGTGACTGTTGCGCCCTGACTGTCCTACATCGTGCCCAAGCACAATTTCTCGGGCGTCAGCCATAATAATCCTTGAAACTGCTGTAAACTCTTCAGACGAGTGTGTGCGGCGCTAAGGCGAGAGCCACATTTTGAAAAGGAACCGCTCTCCATCTGTGAAACAACCTTTCAAGACCAGTGTGCGCGGTGCTATGGCAAGGGCCATATTTTGAAAAGGAACTGCCCTCAATCAGTAAACTCTTGCAAACACGGATGTGCGCGGCACTAAGGCGAGAGCCACATTTTGAAAACGGCTTGCCCTCCATCCGTGAAGCTCTGAAACTTTCAAGACGAATGTGCGCGGCGCTCAGGTGAGAGACTCATTTTGAAAACGGCCCGCCTTCCATCCTTGAAACTGTTGCACATGTCAAATTTCAAGATCGTAACTGGTGAGGAAGTCTCTGGCGAAGCGCCCGGCCGGCCCGACCTACTACACGTGTCGAGGTGCGTCATGGAGAAGTTTGTTTTGTGGTGTCCCAAACTTGGATAACCAGGCGGCAGAAGCTTCTGGAAGGGTCTTCCAAGGAGCTCTAGAAATTCTGGGAATGAGCTTCTTGAAACATTCACGGCACACAAATCGGGAAACAGCTAGAAAAGGCCTGCCAGAACACGCCGCAGCTTCAGGCAGCCCGCTGCGAGGTGTCCTGCCAGAATTTGGGACGAGCTCTGGGGCTACCCTGTGCTGCCGGCTTCTAATCTGGAACCCACTGAGCTCTCAGAGAGCTATCGGGGAGTGTATAAGGAAGAGCAATGGATGATCCCGAGAGTCATCAACGATGTTGGAACTAATCCTCTCTCCAAGCTCCCTCTTCATAGGCCCCTACAAAGGTTCATTTCCATTGAGGAATTTGCCTCGTTGGAAGACAAGATCCTGAAGCGTGCCAAAACATTGTTCTCGGGATTTCAACGCCACGTATATCAACCTGACTGCTGCGTCTTGACCATCCAGAATCGTGCCAGAACGCCAGTTTTGGTACTTCAGCAAAGCGAATCAACATTATCCCAGTGCGACCCTACCTAGGAGTTGGAGCCCCTAGGAAATCAGCATTAGTAGTAACAGTAAAGCTAAGTTAAGCTAAGTTAAGCTAAGCTAAAACTAAGCTAAAGCTAAGATAAAGCTAAGCTAAAGCTAAGCTAAAGCTAAGCTAAAACTAAAGCTAAGCTAAAGCTAAGCTAAAGCTAAGCTGAAGCTAAGCTAAAGCTAAGCTAAAGCTAAGCTAAAGCTAAAGCTAAAGCTCCCAGGGGACTGGGGGAACCGCGGGGCGGATACTGGGGGAACCGCCCGGGGTGCTTTCCACTGCCCGGCCCCTTTAAGTCCAGAGAGTAAGAACCCTTCTAGGCAGAGCCTAGGTAGGGAATTACTGTTGTGCCCGCATGATCCAGAGTCCTTCCAAAACACAAATTCTGGTACGTTGATCATGGGAATCCGTGACGCTCTTGCAAAGTTTAAAACGAATGTGCGCGGCGGTACGGCGAGAGCCGCATGTTGAAAAGGAACCGCCCTCAATCCGTGAAACTCTTGCAAACTTAAAATCGAATGTGCGCGGCGCTAAGGCGAGAGCCACATTTTGATAATGAGCCGCCCTCAATCCGTGAAGTTCTTGCAATTTTTAAACGCATTTGGGCGGCGCTACGGCGAGAGCCACATTTTGAAAACGACCCGCCCTCAATCAGAACTCTTGCGAATTAAAACGAATGCGCGCGGCGCTAAGGCGAGAGCCACATTTTGAAAACCACCCGCCCTCAATCCATGAAGCTCTGGCAAATTCTTCACGCTTCGCGTATCCCCACCAGTTAGTTTGATGCCTGCGTTCCCCGTTTCGGGTCGCCTGCGTCGTAATGAGGGTCAGTTTGTCCCTGGCACGTGCACCCGCTGCCGCGGCCTATGGGCCCCAGCAGCTAATTTTCTCGCCCTGTGCCCCTGTCGAGACCATCCCGCTCCCTGGAATCGTCCTTGCGAGCCGCCGATCAAAAAAGTATCCCCACCAGCTCATTCAAACGCCCTGTCCACGAGAGCTGACGGGAAAAGGGACGAAGAGACACATCTAGGGAAACAAAACGAGCAACCAGGACGAACCGAGAGATCTCTGGGAGCAAGGGGGTGGCCTCGGAGGGCCTCTTCGGGCCATCCCTGGGGGCCGCGTGTGGGGCGAAGGGAAGAGGAGGAAGAGGAGGAAGAGGAGGAGGAGGAGGAGGAGGAGGAGGAGGAGGAGGAGGAGGAGGAGGAGGAGGAGGAGGCCTCTTGGGCGCCTCTTGGGGCACTCTTGGGGCCTCCTGGGAGCTTCCTGGGGGCCTCTTGGAGGGTTTTTTGGGGCCTTTGGGGGCTTCTTGGGGGCCTCTTTCGCCGTCTTATGGCGTTGCGGGCTTCTCTGGCGCCGTCGGAAGCCTTCTTGGGGGCCTGTCTGGGTCGTCTTGGGGCCCTCTTGGGGCATGTCAGGGGTTCTTAGAGGCCATCTTGGGCGTCTTGGAGGCCTCTTGGGCCGTTTTGGGGCCCTCTTGGGGCTGCCTTGGGGGCCTCTTGGGCCGTCATGGGGCCATCTTGGAGGCCTCTTGGGCGATCTTGGGGGCCTCTTGCGCCGTCTTGAGCCGTCGGAATGCCGAGAAGAAGCAAATGCCAAACTCTTTGAAACACCAAAGGACAATCAATGATTTTGGCCTCTTCGTGCCCTCCTGGAAGACCTCCTGGACGCCTTGTGGGCCGTCTTGGAGGCCTCTTGGGGGCCTCTTGGGCCGTCTTGCGCCATCTTGGGGCCATCTTAGGCCGTCTTGGGTGCATCTTGGGCCGTCTTGAAGGCATCTTGGGGCCATCTTAGCCGTCTTGGAGGCCATCTTGGCCGTCTTGGAGGTTTCTTGGGCCCTCTTGGGGCCGTCTTGGGGGCCTCTTGGGCCGTCATGGGGCCATCTTGGAGGCCTCGTGGGCGATCTTGGGGGCCTCTTGGGTCGTCTTGAGCCGTCGGAATGCCGAAAGGAAGCAACTGAAACAATCGTCCAACAACCAGAGGACATCTAATGATTTTGGTCTCTTCGGGCCCTCCTGAAGGACCTCTTGGAGGCCTCTTGGGCCGTCTTAGAAGCCTCGTGGGAGCTTCTTGGGCAGTCTTTTGGCCATCTGGAAGCCATCTCAGGCCGTCTTGGGTGCATCTTGGGCCGTCTTGGAGGCATCTTGGGGCCATCTTAGCAGTCTTGGAGGCCATCTTGTCTTGGAGGCCTCTGGGGTCGTCTTGGGGCCCTCTTGGGGCCCTCCTGGGGCTCCCTTGGGGCCCTCTTGGGAGCCCTGGAAGGCCTCTTGGGGCCATCTTGAAGGCCATCGATCAAAGGAGAAGCTGGGATAACGTTCGCCCCCCTCCCCGAAAGAGGCCAAAATGGGGCCAAAACCTTAGCAAAACAAATGATTTGGCGCCCAGAGGGCTGGTGGGATAACGTTCAGCCCGCCCCCAAAGAGGCCAAACTGAGGCCAAAACCTTAGTAAAACCAATGATTTTGGCGCCCCCAGAGGGCTGGTGGGGCCACCCTCGGTCCCTCCCAAAGAGGCCAAGGTGGGCCAACATCTAAGTGAAACCAATGATTTTGGCTTCCTCGCCGAGGCCGTTTTGGACGCCCTGACACCTCGCGGGCCACCCAAAAAAGTCCAGTGGAGGGGTCAGGGGAGGGGTAAACCTTTCCCCGTAGGGGAAGAGGTTTTTTTTGGAAGAAGGAAGAGGAATCTCGTTAGACCACCTGTCGCCCAAAGCGCTGGTGGGATTTAAACAACAAATATGCGCGGCGCTGAGGCGAGAGCCACATTTTGAAAACCACCCGCCCTCCATCTTTGAAAATGTTGTCACTGTTTTAGCTTCAGAGCCATAAGTGGTGAGGAAGTCTCAGGCGAAACGCCCGGCCCGCCCTAAAAACTTGCCTCTGGGTGCGACAGGGAGGAGTTATCTATAAAGAGAAGGAGTTGAGGAGTAGGAGGAGGAGGAGGAGGAGGAGGAGGAGGAGGAGGAGGAGGAGGAGGAGGAGGAGGAGGAGGAGGAGGAGGAGGAGGAGGAGGAGCCCTTCCCCCTTGCCGCCATCGTCACGCTTCCACCCTGTCCCATTCTTGCCCCTCCGCCCTCCCCTCGTCCCCCCTGGTCCTCCCTCATCCCGCCCAGGTGCTCAAGTACTACAGGCACATGCCGCTGCTGAGGGAGCCACGGGCCCTCCTCCTCCTTCCTCCTCCTCCTCGTCCTTCTCCTCCTCCTCCTCCTCCTCCTCCTCCTTTTTTTCTTCCCCTCCTCCACCTCGCCCGTCCCCTCTTATTTCCTTTCTGCTCCTCCTCCTTCTCCGCCTGAACCTCATTCTTCTCTTTCCCCCCCTGATCCTCCTCCCAATCCTCCGCCTCCCTCTCCTCTTCCTCCTGCTGCTGCTCCTCCTCCTCCTCCTCCTTCTCCTCCTCCTCTCCTCCTCCTCATCGTCCCTCTCGGTTACCCTCCACTCCTCCCCCTTGCTGCTCCTCCTCCTACTCGTCCTCTCCCTGACCTCCTCCTCCTCTCCTCCTCCTCCTCCTCCTCCTCCTCCTCACTCTCCTCCTCCTGCCCCCTCTCCCTCTCCTTCTCCTCTCCCTCTCCTCCTTATCCCCTCTGCTCCCTCCTCCCTCTCCTCCTCCTTCCCCGTCCTGTTCCCTCTCCTCCTTCTCATTCTCCTCATCCTCCTCCTCTCCCTTTTCCGCTACTTCCTGACGCCCCGCCCTCCTCAAGGACCGTGATTACGAAATGCTTATTGTTGTTTGCCTCCAGCAGCCACCAGGGAGCTTGGAGGGACCTCCAGAGGCTTCCGCATCTCGGTGGACTTTCGGGGACCTCTTGGGACCCTCTTCTTCTTCTTCCTCCTTCTTCTCCTCCTCCTCTTCCTCCTCCTCCGCTCTCTACTCCTCCTTCTAGCCCTCGTCGCTTCTTCTCGCCCTCGTCGCCTCCTCTTCCTCCTCCTCCCTCTGTCTCCTCCTCCTCCTCCTCCTTTTCTTCCTCCTCCTCCTCCGCTCTCTACTCCTCCTCGCCCTCGTCGCCCTCGTCGCCTCCTCTCCCCCTCCACCTCCATCTCCTCCTCCTCCTCCTCCTCCTCCTCCTCCTCCTTCTGTTCCTGATCCTCCTCCTCCGCCTCCTCCTCCTCCTCTCCATGGTTTTTGCAACAGTATTTTCAAAGTATAGGCGCTTCGCAGTACCTCAGCCGCCCACTTAGAAACGATGCCCAGGCGAGTTGCCCTGATCAGGCATGTGTCGGAGCACGCAGTGGAAGAAAGGCCCGGAAGCCGTGGGGGGAGGATGGAGGAGGAGGAGGAGGAGGAGGAGGAGGAGGAGGAGGAGGAGGAGGAGGAGGAGGAGGAGGAGGAGGAGGAGGAGGAGGAGGAGGAGGAGGAGGAGGAGGAGGAGGAGGAGGAGGAGGAGAGGAGGAGGAGGCGGAGGGAGAGGGGGAGGAGAGAGGATGGAGAATGGAGGAGGCGGAGGAGGAGGAGGAGGAGGAGGAGGAGAATTCGGCTGATGAGGAAGATGAGGAGGAAGGCTAGCAGAAAGGCCACAGGCCTCTTGGATGCTTCTCGGAGTCTTTTCGATGTCTCGAGAGCTTCTTGTAGGCCTGTTGGGGCGTTTTGGGAGCTCGTTGGCGGTCCCGGGGGCCCCTTGAAGCGTCTTGGGTGCCTCGGGGGAGCCTCTTGGGGCCTCCTGGGGGTCTCTTTTTGGAGCCTCTTGGGGGCATCTTGGGGGCCTTTCGGCGTCTCCTGGGCGCCTCTTAGGGCCCTCTCGGGGCGCTCTGGGGAGCCTCGGAGGCCATCGTGGGGCCATCTCGGAGGTGATCGACCAGCACCCATCGCCAAGCGGAGCCTGACATCCGACCCCGCCCAGGAACGTGCGGAACTGCTTTCGAGGGCCTAGCCCTGGGAACCAACCAGCCCCCCCCCCCCATCTCCACATCAGAGGAGGTAGCAACCCTCCCGGCACTGGGGCCGGGGTGGGAGCGATATCCCCCGCAGAGGCCCGCGACCCCATACCCACTGGGCGGGCAAGAGAAGCGCAGGAGGACGGTTCCGACGGTGGGCTTCCTGATGATTCCAGGAGATTCCGTCGCCAGGCGTTCAGAGCTGGGGACCCTGTGTAATAGGTATGTTGATGTTTATACATATGTATAGATACATGTGTGTATATATATATATGTGATTTTGTGTTGTTCCCCAAGCAGTGCTTGCACTCAGGGGCTCTTATTAAGAACTGGACCTGCGGGCCGTTGTGGCGGCTATGTTGTCGCCGCCGCCGCCCCGTCGCCGCCTCGTCGCCGCCCTAGGCTGCACAGCATCGATTGCACCGCCTAGATTTTCCTTTCTAAGAAGAGAATAGACTGTACCCCCCCCGGCGTTATCGCCCCCCCTTTCGGGTATTTAAATCACATATGATTCTGACCACATGTCCATCCTGAATATGAAATCACAATGTCCCAGGCCATCCGGTATCCCCCCCCTGAGGTTCCCTTGTAAAAAAACACTATGCGGTGACATTTTTTGTTTTAACATAGCACTTTTTCGCGAATCCCTTGCAAAATATGGGACGAAGTGCACACGCGCGCGTCGTCGCGCGCGCATGCCGAAATCCTTCAAAAACCTTCGGTGCTGGAAGGATTTCGCAATCGAGTTTCCAAAAAACATACAACAACACAGGGTTTCGTAACACTGATTTGCTATAAAAGCTTACGCGCGAGCTCTTGCGA